GTTTCTCTTCCAAGCTACTAATCTTTTTTCGAATTTTTCCACCATTGGATTCCAAAACCTACTTTCCTTTGGATTTGCACCTAGAGGAAGTCCTAGGTAGGAAAGAAGCCACTAAGAGCAATTGCATTCTAACAAGGCTGCTATAGATTCCATCTCCTCTCTGTTCAAATGAACTCCCACAACRCAGCTCTTCTCAAAATTTACCTTCAAATTTGAGGCCCTCTCAAAGTGAATTATTAAATCCTTCAGATTTCGTACCTCCATTAAATCACAACCTTCACAAAAGATTATTATGCCATCTGCAAATTGAAGATGGGAAACTAAAACTCTATCTCTACCTATTCTCCACCCTCTTATAGATCCGACTCTATCCGCTTCTGAGAGGAGTCTACTAAAGGCATCGGTGACTAAAGTGAAAAGAAAAGGTGGCATGGGATCGTTTTGTCTCAGACCCCTACTAGCTGGGAAAAAATCATTAACTATCTCGTTGACTAGGATGGAATAATGGCAATTGGAAAGGCAACCGTTTATCCATTTGCACCATTAATCCCCAAACCCACACTTAGCACAAGTGACAAGAATTCCCAACCCACCACGTTATAAGCCTTTTCAAGATCTAGTTTACACACATAACCTTGACGCCCCAATCTCCTCATTTCCTCCACACATTCATTTGCTATTAGAATCTAATCTACAATTTGTCTCCCCTAAACAAAAGCTTGGCTAATAAGACAACGAAACACCATTTTTATCCTCAAAGATAAGACCTTTGCCACAATCTTGTAAACGCTAGTCACCAAACTGATAGGTCTAAAGTCCTTTAGATGCTTGGCCTCTTTCTTCTTGGGAATTAAGACTATAAAGGTAGCATTAATTCCGTAACTCATAACTGAATTATTCTCAAATTCCTTGAAGACCTCAATTAAATCTTCTTTGACTACGTCCCAACAATCTTGAAAGAAATCCATCGTAAACCCATCTGGCCCTGGTGCTTTAGATTTTTCCATGGAAAACACAGATTTTCTAATTTCTTCCTCCTCAAAATTCCTTTCCAGCCAGCTTCTACTCTCTTCTAGAAGCCTCTGCCAGGTCACACCTTCCAGCTTCACACTACGGCTTAGGGGTCTCCTCAAAATGGACTTGAAATGGTCAACAAAACAATTGGCTATTCTCTTTTGGGTATCATAGACTATTCCATCCACTTCCAGTTTGGACAATAGGTTTTTCCTTCTTCCATTGGCTAGGTCATGAAAAAAATTAGTGTTCCCATCTCCTTCCTTAATCCACTTACATCTAGACTTCTGCCTCCAGGAAATTTCTTCTCTCAAAATAACTTCATCTAACTCTCTTTTCAGATTCCATCTCCGATCTCTATCCTGAAAGCTTAGGGCTCTTTGGGATTCCTTCGCATCCAATTCCTCTATTTGGGACAGCAAAGAGGATTTCCTTTCTTCTATTCTCCCAAAATGCTCCATATTCAAATCCTTCACATGTGCTCTCAATCTTTTTAGTTTTTTGTGAAATCTTACCCCTTTCCACTCCCCCCCCCCAAGTCTTCTCTCCACCATTCCTCAACCTTCTTCACAAAGTCCAAGTGAGTCAACCACATGTTCTCAAACCTAAAGGGTCGAGGTCCTTGCCTAAAGGGCTCCTGTCCTAGGCCAATGAGCAGTGGTTAGATGTGACTCTAGGTAGAGCCCTTGTTATCAAGTTCGTCCACTTATTTTCCCAGCTTTCATTGAAAAGAAACCTATCTAATTTGGAGAAAGTTGGTGTCTCCTGAAAGTTGGACCAAGTATAGAGAGCTTGCTACAATGGGAGTTCCTTTAACTCACAATTATTAATAAAGTCGTTGAATCTCCATATGCTGGTTGTAATGATCTGTTGGGGGTTATTTGGTTCATTCGTAAATCGAATTACATTGAAATCTCCCCCCAAGCACCACGGACCATCCCAAAGCCCTTGAATCCCATAAAGTTCCTCCCAAAATTCATTCCTTTCTCTGTAATTGCTTGGTCCATACACATTAGATAGAGCACAAGTAAATCTATCCTCTACCATCTTGAATTTTAACGACACTAAAAAATTACCTACTAGCTCCTCCAACACCTCCACCGTATCCTCTCTCCAAAAGGTAGCAATTCCCCCCGAAACCCCCCAAGAAGGTGTTGAAACCCAACTTATTCCTCTAGCTTTCCAGATGCTTCTTGCCCATCTTCTATCAATATCAGCTAATTTGGTTTCCTGTAGCATCACTACATCCGACCTTTCCCCTCTAAGGAGGTCCTTAATCAACCTTTTTTCCTAGCACTCCCCAACCCCCTCATATTCCAACTAATGATTTTCATGAAGAAAAGAGATTTGGCATCCCCTTCTGAGGTCAGACCTCTACTTAGAAGCATTCCTTCTCTCCCCTCTTCTATATCTGACATCAACCTTTCCACTTCTGATCTTTTCTTCTTCCTTCGGTTATTAATTGTTCCATATCTGCTTAAGACTGCTTTTGTTTTATTTTGCCTTTCCGAAATTTCTTAGTTCTCCAAAGATTCCTTTGTTTGCCTATACCCCTCAAGGAGAGCACAAATATGTCCCCAAATCCTCTCTAATTCCTCCTTCTGCATCTTTCCCATAATTGATTCATCCCCTTCTTTTTTCCTTCTTTGAACCCCTGATTTTACTAAACCTTCTTGAACCTTGTACTTCCCTACCTATTCCTCTTTTCTCTTAAACTCCTCTAGAAACATACAAATCTGATCCCAGATTTTCTCCAACTCCTCTTCCTGTGCATCTTTCTTGATGAATGGAGAAAGAGCATATGGTGCCTAAGTTTAAAAAGAAAAGTGATATACAAAGTTGTAATAATTAACATGAGATTAAGCTTGTGAGCCATACCATGAAACTCTAGGAGATACTAATTGAACAAAGGTTATGACATGAAACAAGTATATAAGAGAACCAATTTGGGCTTATGCCAGGGAATCCAAACATGGAAGCTATCTTTCTTTTGAGAAGATTGATAGAAAAAATTAGCAAGAAAAAGAGAGACACCAGATTTTATAGTTACAATGAGTCTTCACCAAGGCTCAGCACTTCATTCCTATTTATTTGCACTAGTCATAGATGAATTGACTAAACATATACAGGAGGCCCCACTGTGCTTGCTGTTTGCTAATGGCATGGTATTAATGGACGAAACTAATGAAATAACTCAATGTGCCCAAAAGAGAAACAAGAGATTTAAAAACAAGTAGGGTCAAAACACAATATATTTTATGTAAATTTAAAAATTATGATGATGATGATGATGATGATGATAATAATAATAATAATAATGAAAAAGGTAATAGGAGTGTAAAACAAGGTACACTTACAATTGGAGATTCCGTTACTTTGTCTCAATAAAATGGAAGGATGAATCTAGAGCCTTATGTGATAGGCAAATACCACTCAAATTAAAAGGAAATTTCTATAACAGTTGTAAGACCAGCAAAGTTATGTGGATAGAGTGTTGGGAAGTAAAGAAACAACACGTCCAAAAAATAAGTATGACAAAAATATGTACGCTGAGTGGAAAAACTAGAAAGGATAGGGTCAAAAATGAAGTCATTTAAAGGAACCTGGTGCTTGCACCAATAGGTGATAAAATGAGGAAAAGTAGACTAAGATGGTTTGGTCAGATTCATAAAGACCATCCACAGCACCTTTAAGAAGAAGAAATCTGTTGCAAGTTGAAAGGGCTAGAAGGGCTAGGGGCAAAACAAAAAGAACATGAGTTGAAGTAGTAAGAAAAGCTTTCGCACAAGTAAGTTAACAATGGATATGACACTAAACAAAATGGAATGGTGAAACAGGATTCATGTAGCTGACTCCATGTGGTTGGGATAAGGATTTGATGATGATGATGATGATGGTGACATGAAACAAGGCAATCCAGGTAATCTCTACAGGCTCCAATCCATCAACACAATCAATGCAAGAACTTGTATCCTGATTGAGCATCAGAAGTTTTATTATAATTAACTTGACACTTATGTGTATGTGTTAGTCCCACTATGGTGAGGGGATTCAGTCTACCAATGGACAGTTGATCAAAAAGAAATGGAACATGCGAATCAGGAAACTCCAATATCCACAATTTGATTTACATGTTAGGATTGACACCAAAGAAAATATGACCATTCACATCTGCATCAAAGCCTTCTATATCCTACAAAGCAAATATGACCATTTCTATTGCCCAATTGGTGTCTACAGGCCCAAACTATAGTCACAATCAATGGAAGAATTCCCATGAAGTATCCTGATTCAGCAGTAGAACTGTCATTGTCATTAATGAGTTCGGTTTCGGTCAGTGCAAGCCTGTGCTCACACTATTCAAACAGCCTCCTGCGACCTTGCTTTGGGAATATCTCCCCATGAAATAAAGTACAATAGTACAGAGATATTCCCAATGCAAGGCTGTAAAGGCTGTTCAAATGGGCTTTGTACTGACCAAAGCCGAACTCGTCATTAATTTGATATTTATTTTCATGAAAGAGAGAGAGAGAGAGAGAGAGAGAGAGAGAGAGATCCCCACTTTGGAGGGAAAACCAGCAGTAAATTATTCAAAATGAGTTTATTGTCACAGTTTTCCTCATACTAATGCCTGAAATTGATTTGTTGGATGCACATGGTTGATTCCAGGGAGCATTGTCTAGGTGTGGAGCCTCTCCAAGGGCTAGAATCAGTTTTGATGCAATAGTCTTTAGACAGCTCCATGTGCTGGCATCTAGAGGATGACATATCTGATTGAGGGTCTGAATTGACTAGTAATATACGAGTAATATGTGCTTATCTCATGTTCTCAAATTGCTAAACATGGTTCTAAACTAACTGACAGTTTCAAGCTCAAAACTTTAGCTTAATGTATCGATTTAATAACTAAAGAAAGTATTACAGCCACAAAAAAAAAATACTTACAAAAAATTTGTAATGGAACTTAAATATAGATAATTCTTTACCACATAAAAAACACGAGCTTCTTCAAGTTTCCGCTGTACAAGATAAAATTGCCCAAGGTTGTGGAAGGCTGCACCCACCCTGAATTAGGTATTGTTACAGGTTACAGAGTTGAAATGAGATACATTGAAGAAGTACATTTTTTAATGTAAAAAATGAACATGAGAGCTACTTATCCCCTAAGCACAAAACAGGGATGTAAGTTGAAAAGGGAAATATGCATATAAATGGTTATTTCAGTGGCATGCAAATAAAAGGAAACACAAAGGGATCGATGCTTATGCGCATGGGCAACAAATCATTTCCCTACATTGTTATCACCTGGAGAAAATACAAGTGGTTTGCCCTCTTCAATAAATAGAAAGTGGCAAATTGGACTCTATGCATTAGGGGTGCAACTTGGGTGGGCTCAGGTTGGACTTTTGTCACAATTTGAATGGGCCTAGCCTGAAGGACCAAACCCAAAACACTGAAAATGCTAACTCAGGCCAATCCGAGTAGCACCTCTTATATGCATTTTATCATTAGAAGTCTAATTTTGTGGGGTTTAAGGATGTAAGGTTTCATTATCCAAAGTAAATTTCCTAGGCGGCTAGGCCTTATTCTGGATTTTTGTGTTGGGTCAGAGAATGTGAAGATTTTCCACCTCCAATTTGCTCATGACATTATCATCTTTTTTGAAAACCAAAGATTGGAAGGTGTATTGAAATTATACCCAATTATCTTTTGTTCTAAAAAGATGTCAATTTGGGCAAGAGCTCTGTAGCCAGTTCCAAGCTAAACGGTAGAAGTTGGGAACCATACAGCACTTTTTTGAATGCTGATTCTCTGTTTTGTAATTTCTAATCAATACTTTTTGTATAGATGGAGTTGGTGATGGCACAGCTTCTTGCTGTGCAGCTTTGGGGGGTTTAATTAATTTAATTTTTAATACAATACCTGACCTTTTTCAAAAAAAAAAAAATAGAAGCCATTGAATTACTATGGTCTAGCATCAGGTGGTTGGCCTTTTTTTTTTTTTTTGATCAATATGGCTGGCCTTGCTTTGGAGATTGGGAGGGGCAATCAATCTGATTAGGGCCATGGAAAATTTATTTTCTTGTCTCCAAAGGTTGAGTTTTTTTTCTTTTTTCTTTTTTTTTTTTTGAAAAGGAACATCTGGCTACTGGAACCAGGAGAGGGTAAAAAGGAACATTTGTCTATTTAGTTGTACAAGCAAGGAGAAGGTGGTCTTGGTAAAGGAAGGCTAGCACTTAGGAACTACTCACTTTTGGGCAAACGGATGTGGAGGTCCCATTGGAGAGAAAGGAAACTTTAGCATTCTGTTATTCTCAGCATCATGGATTGAATGAGAACAATTTGGATATAAAATTTCAAAAATGTAACTCTTTAATCACTTTGAAAATCTATTATTTCTCTATATGATTCCTTTCATGGCTCCATCTGTTATGAACTAGCTAGGGAGTATGACATCAGGTTTCAGGAATCTATAGGATAAAGTTTCCAACATATTATACACCAGAACCAGAAGAGCTTCCATGCAAATCATCATCTAATCAAACTCCAACAAGAAAAGAGTTCTTGAATTATGGAATAAGAATGAAATCATGTTTACCGTATATCCTCGGGTCCAAATGATTCCTCCAAAATATTGACAGCCTCCAAATATAATGGCTCAGCCTTATCAAATGCCCTTTTTACTCTGTATAACTCTGCCTATAATTGCATCACAAGAAAGGAAAAATTACTTGTTAAAGAATAATAAAATCAGAAACAGAATATACATTTACTCATCATCAAATTATTGGCTTAATAATATACTAGCCAGACAACCGTGCGATGCATGGTAGTATATAAAAACTGATGATTGTACATATACCAATGATAAATTTGAGATTAATAAATTTAAATTTGTAGAAGAAAAATATTTAGTATATGTGTAGTGAGAATGGGCCGAATGGGCCTTTGTGGTTTTATTTCTTTTAAGTTATGCTTTAAGTTTATTTTCTTTTAGTTATGGGCCTCTTTTTGTTTATTTTATTAGTTCTTTAGTGCTGGCCGCCCTATTAAGGGCATCTAAGGAATTATACTCAGTTTTCACATTGAGAAATAAAAGACATCTTGAGGGGACTAGAGATGGGATCGAGCATCTTCTCTTCTCTCTTCCTTCCTATTCTTCTTCCACAAGTTTTTGCTGAAACCTTTCATTCCTCTTTCTTTTCTTTTTCTATTTTTTTCTGATTTACTACAGGTGTCTTTCACAACTATACGAATTAGTAAAAATAGTCCAATGCAAGGGATTTGTTCAGATTTTTCTTGGTAATTTAAGATTAAAACATATATTAATTCCACTTTCGTTTTTATCAATTAATGTTAATTTTACTTTATTTTTTTCAACTAATTATAAAATTTTATGTTTACTAATTAATTTTATACACTTACAATTTTATTAAAGCAGTTATTTTTAAATTGATTTTAAATTGAAAATAAAAAGAATTTATTTATATTTTTATTAATGTAATTATTCTTATATGGAATTTAAATGAATTTCAAAATATAATTAAATGGAATTTATTTCAAATAATTTAAGGGGAATTTAAATTTAGACAATTTATAATTAATTACAATTATTTATAATACTCTTAATTGATTCCTAATATAATATGGAATGTAAATTTACCCATGTTTAACAATTATTATTAACTAATTTCATAGTTCATTAATTACAAATATTATAATATTATTATTAATGAAATATTATGAAGTACTAACCTTATTATAACTCATAATATTTTTTTAATTATTTATAACTGAACATAATGATCACAATTAACTTGCAACTATATACCATACAGGTAATTATTTAACATGCAGTCATATATTGTATGGGTCAACCGAAAGGGGTCTAGGGAAACCAATTTAACTTGACTTCTTCACCCGATTAGAAAAACAAGTTCTACAATGTTTAACTCATCTTCCTCTTGGTAGACTCAAACGGTTTTGAAGCATTTAGGAGAACTTCAACACTATTCTTTGAGAAAGTTTAACCAGAATTTATTGAGAAAAAAAAGGGGGGAACAAGAGGAGATATACAAAGCAGGGGGGGAACCCCTACAAGTTACAAAGGAGGAAGCTTGTCGCTATACAGATGCTCCAAATACACACCAACTTCAACACTATTCTTCTCCATGATTTCATATTTCTAAGAATTTCATTCTCCTCCCTCGTCAATACAAGTCTATCATCACCATTTGGTCATAGCCAACACCACCAAGGAACCACATACATTGTGAATTCAATTAGACCTGTTCATGGACCAGGCTTGAGCTTGGCCTAGACAAAATTTGAATGGGCCCGGCCCAAAGCCCGAGCCTGATATAACGTAAAGTCAGGCCTAAATCCTGGCCCGCAAAGAGGTCTAAATCCGATGGCTTGGCAAGCTAATAGTGCTGAAAGATAACAACACAGAGTCCATAGACCACTTGCCCAAAACTACAAACCTAGCTAATGCTAACCACTTTCACTTTGCATACGATATCATAAAACTCACATCCATGAAGTTCTCATTGAGTTCATATTGTCTAAAAGCCAAGGTTCAACTTGGCTTCTCTTCAAGAAGATTTCATCCCTGTTAACACTTTCAATATTCCCTACCAATCATAACACAGCTACATCACCCTCATCAAAATGCCATAATAAAGATTTGGTTGAGACTTGGGAAATTTTGGCTATAATAACCCAGTGCAAACTGTTGCTTAAATTACCATAATTTGGATTTGATTGGGATCTTTTTAGTCAGAAGTATTATACTTTTGATCTGAAAGGTCCAAATTAAACGGTCACTCAAAACATGAAGGCGACCTCTGTTTCTTTTACTTTAATAATCAGATGGTCAGGAGTTCGTTGCAGAAACTAATGACATGCAAAGACAACACCATAACAAAGCCTAATAGATGAGCATAAGAGTCTCAACCAAAATACAAAATAGGTTATGAAAAACACAAGTGTACAAAAGTTTAATAAATGAACAGGGCAGCTTTGGCCAATCTTAAATTCAATTCAGACATTAGGACTTGAATCTCCCTGAAAACATATCTGAACCTCCATACCCCTGTCATCTCACCATTCAACCAGTGTATAACCACCTTGGAATCACCTTCTATTAATATATTCCTGAAGTTGGCAGCTTTGACCAATCTTAAATTCTGTTAGTATTTCCATCAACTCTGCTGTGATTGAGTCTGCCTCTCCTTGAGGGCCTGAATAGAATGCAAGTATAGTCCCTCCTTTGCTACTGAAAACTCCCCCAACACCAAGGGAACTGGAATGCCTCTACTACATCCATCCATGCTCATTTTGATCCAATTACACTGCAGTAGATTCCATGAACACCTCTGAGTTGTCTTTGAAGATGAAGAAGAGTCTGCTATCTGCTGCCAATTTCTAAGGATATCATCTGACAAGTATTCTTTAAATGTTTCTAAAGTATTGATCCAATGGAACACCTTCAACTTGATATTCTCAATGGCTACACCAGGGCCATTCTGTGTATCATTAAATATTCTATTATTTCTTTCCAACTAAATGCTCCATAGGATGGCAGCCCCAGTGCATCTCCAAAGCACATGAAGGATCACATTTTGTTTGGTAAAAGGATCACATTTATCTTTATAAATATTCTTGATCTTGTTTCTTACCTCTCCTTCCAAACCCCACAAAATATCAATTACCACTCCTTGCCATATATCTGTGCAAATCTTTGGAAGCACTCTTTCCTTCCCCTCAAATGATTTCCTGTTCCTCTCCTTCCAAACCCCACAAAAGATTGCAGATCAGGAAATTGTCCACATATCTGTCCTCTGTTCATTTTTCAAATTTGTTAAATGTTATATGACAAGGAGTGGTAACAATAGAAGACTCCAATTGACTTAAAGGGGGTACCCTTTTCTGGATGTTTTGTGGATATCTTTACCGTTTCTGATCAAAAAAATATATATTTTTTGTGGGTATCTTGATAAGATTTGGCAATGTAGTGTGGTGTTTTGGGTTGCTGGAACTTGGTCATTCCACATTTTGGGAGGCGGTACTTTTAATGTCTAGTTGAATGGTACTACTCAAAAACTAATGTTTAGTGGCATACTGTTTTTTCTCTTCTTATTACATCCTTTACATAGGGGTTAGTTCTGCTGGTTTCAGTTGTGGCACTGCTATTTTTTTTTTTTGCAGCCTCTTATAATCCTTTATAGGTTCCTTCACCTTCCAAGTTTTTTTTTTTTTTTTTTTGTGGAACAGTAAAAACAAAAGCTTGGTAAAAAAATATAGCATAGAATATACAAGTTTACAAGAGATGGTAGACTAGTATAGACTATGTACTGCATAAGTTCTTACATTAGGTTCCCCTTGGAACCTCCCCCCAAAACAGATCTGTCCTGTTCACCCCTTCTATGCATGAAGCATCAGCCATACTGTTTGCACACCTCAGAACCCACTAAAATGTAGCCACCAACTTTGTTGCTAATAGCCATCTCTTTTTAGGGATAAATAAAAAATCATTAAACTGAAAAAAAAAAGTACATTACAGATCAGTTGGTTGTCAGGTTCGCATACCAATCCACAGGTTAAATGACTCAAACTGAAAATAAATCGTCATTACAAGGATGCACATCAAGAGTACTCCAGAAATTCTCTAACAGATCAGCTCTGTCCGCTTGATCAAAGTTTGGAAAAGGTAGAATCCAATCCGTTACAAGTTTACCCACTGTTGCTAGCAGAAGATCCATGCTCTTAAGACTTATCCTCGAATACTCTTCCGTTCCTCTCATTCCAAAGTGACCAACAAACTACAAATGGGATACAGCTCCACAGGATTCAAGTTTTCTTTCTTCCTCTGAGTTTTGGCCAATTGGAGAAGATTTCTGCTGGAGATGAAGATTGGACAACACTCACTCAGAACAAGTAGTACTTCCAAATAAAGTTTGCCACATTACTGGAGAAGAACAAATGAAGAACTGTCTCCTCTTCCATGTTGCATAAATAACGGTAGCTTGCCAAATTAAATCCTCTAATCTTCAGGTAATCAGTGGTGAGAATGCTATCATGAGCTATCACGTAAAGACCTCCACCCTTGGAGGGGCACCAGGTTACCCCACAGACCTTTTATCTGACCCGACTCCAAACTATCTCTTACTAGCGCCTTGTAAAATGAATTCACTGAGAACCTTCCATCTTTACACTCTTTCCGCCAAAGACCATCTCCTGTGCACATAGAAACACAGATGCCTTCTAATTTTTCCAACAGCAGAATACACTCTTCCACTTCTTGATCAAGTAAAGGTCTTCTAAATTTTGGGTTCCAAATCATCTGCTCCCCTCTCCAATCATAACACTGATCAATTGTGACATCTGTTCAGTCAACCTGTATAACCTTGGGCAACCCAGCCATCTACTCCTCTCCCAAGTTCAATCCCACTATGCAACTCTTTTCAAAATTGATCTTCAACTTAGAGACAAATTCAAATAGTTTGATCATCTGCTTCAAATTACTCAACACTCACAAAAAATAATTGTATCATTAGCAAACTACAAATGTGCAACAACCGTGCTTCTCTCCCAACCCTCCATCCTTTAAAAAGTACCAAGCTATTAGCTCTTACGATAAGACAACTGAACACCTCAGCTACCAAGGTAAATAGGAAAGGAGAAAGGGAATCCCCTTG